GCTCTTTGTTTTGTTCTCTCTCTGTCGCGCTTCCGCGTTCGTCACTAATCACCGGTGCGCATGACACGTACGTCCTGCGTCATCCGCCAGACCGGCTTCCGCCTACGACAGTTAGAAGTGAAAGAAAGGCGTTTATATTTTTTTAAATATGGATATTTTTCTTACAAAAACGCATTGATTCGCTTCAGGAGGCCTTTATTCACCCCCTGCAGCAGTGTGGGACACTTTTTATGATGGATGGATGCACTTTATTGGACTTCTTTTGTACTATTGAAAAATAACACCCATTCACTGCTATTATAAAGTTTGGAAGAGCAAGGACATTTTTTAATAGGTAACATAATTAGCACAACAGAACAGAAATAAGCCACAACACAACGAAATCTCCACAACACAACGGAAACAAGCCGCAAGGTAACATAATTAGCACAACAGAACAGAAATAAGCCACAACACAACGAAATCTCCACAACACAACGGAAACAAGCCGCAAGGTAACATAATTAGCACAACAGAACAGAAATAAGCCACAACACAATGAAAATTAGCACAACACAACGGAAACAAGCCGCAAGGTAACATAATTAGCACAACAGAACAGAAATAAGCCACAACACAATGAAAATCTCCAAAACACAACGGAAACAAGCCGCAAGGTAACATAATTAGCACAACAGAACAGAAATAAGCCACAACACAATGAAAATTAGCGCAACACAACAGAAACAAGTCGCAACACAACGGAAACAAGGCGCAACACAACGAAATTAGCACAACACAACAGAAATAAGTCGCAACACAACAGAAATAAGTCGCAACATAACAAAATTAGCACAACACAATGGAAACAAGTTGCAACACAATTAAATGAGCACAACACAATGAGATTAGTCCTATGCATTGTGTTGTGGCGATTTCGTTGTGTTGTGCACCGCTGGATCACCATAATTTTCACTGTCACATGATTCCTCAGAAATCATTCTAATATGCTGTGCTCAAGAAACATTTCTTACAATATTTGTTTGTGGAAATGTTTTTTCAAGATCATTTGGTAAAGTTCAAAAGAATAGCATACAGAGTAAACAAGTATTTTGAAGCATTATAAATGATTTTAACGTTTACCTTTGATCAATTTAATATACCCCTGCTAAAAAGTATTAATTTCTTTAAAAAAAAAAAATTAATATAAATAATTAATGTGCAAAATCGGAAGCTAGAGATTACTGTTCATAACATTTTAAGTATAGATATTTTCTTACAAAAATGCATCAGTTTGCTT